CGCTGCCGCTGCCCCTGCCCCAGCGTGTGCCTAGGCCCCCAGTCTTTTCATCAAGCCTAGGACTATAAACAGTCCAGCCTCATCGTCAGCACCTGCTGCCGATTCTGCCGATTTCGTCGGCGCTGCCGATTCCAACACTGCCCGCTGTGGCTGAACAGCCCCTGCTTCATCAGCGCAATTCCTTGATGATTTTTCCTGCCTGGCTTGGACAGCCCAGCGTCCAGCCCATGTTCGTCAAAAAATCTGCGCTGCCGATTTTCCCTGACGGGCCTCCAGCTGCACAAATCCGCGCTGCCGATTTTTCCCACTGTTGGCATCGCTGCCGCTGCCCCTGCCCCAGCGTGTGCCTAGGCCCCCAGTCTTTTTCGTCAAGCCTAGGACTCTAAACAGTCCAGACTCATCGTCAGCACCTGCTGCCGATTCTGCCGACTTTGCCGATTTCGTCGGCGCTGCCGATTCCAACACTGCCCGCTGTGCCTGAACAGCCCCTGCTTCGTCAGCGCATCCCCTCGATGAATTTTCCTGCCTGGCCTGGCCAGCCCAGCATCCAGCGCATGTTCGTCAAAAAATCAGCGCTGCCGATTTTCCCCGACGGGCCTCCAGCTGCACAAATCCGCGCTGCCGATTTTTCCCACTGGTGGCATCGCTGCCGCTGCCGCTGCCCCAGCGTGTGCCTAGGCCCCCAGTCTTTTTCGTCAAGCCTAGGACTATAAACAGTCTAGGCTCATCGTCAGCACCGGCTGCCGACTCTGCCGACTTTGCTGATTTCATCGGCGCTGCCGATTCCACCACTGCCCGCTGTGCCTGAACAGCCCCTGCTTCGCCAGCGCACTTCCTTGACGATTTTTCCTGTCTGGCCTGGACAGCCCAGCGTCCAGCCCATGTTCGTCAAAAAATCCGCGCTGCCGATTTTCCCCGACGGGCCTCCAGCTGCACAAATCCGCGCTGCCGATTTTTCCCACTGTTGGCAACGCTGCCGCTGCCCCTGCCAACGCGTGTGCCTAGGCCCCCAGTCTTTTTCGTCAAGCCTAGGACTATAAACAGTCCAGGCTCATCGTCAGCACCGGCTGCCGACTCTGCCGACTTTGCTGATTTCATCGGCGCTGCCGATTCCAACACTGCCCGCTGTGCCTGAACAGCCCCTGCTTCGCCAGCGCAATTCCTTGACGATTTTTCCTGTCTGGCCTGGACAGCCCAGCGTCCAGCCCATGTTCGTCAAAAAATCCGCGCTGCCGATTTTCCCCGACGGGCCTCCAGCTGCACAAATCCGCGCTGCCGATTTTTCCCACTGTTGGCAACGCTGCCTGTAACAACCCGGCTTTCCAAACCCAAAACACAATAATTTTTTTTTTTTTTTTATGCATTCAATCCACATGGTGCCGGCAATCAATGAATCTAAATCCTCACATCATCGTAATACAATCCATACAATCAACATTTCATTTCAAAGTGAATCTTACACAAACACGTAATATTAAGGTTGCTTGATTTGAAGTTCATATTAAAAATATATACATAGACATGAGTTTACAGTCTTCTCCTACTAATAGTCATCACAATTTTAAACAAAAAGGATCTAATAAAAGTTATACATTCAGTACATTAATCCATACAAAATACATTGTGATTTAAGATACATCTACATAATTCCTTGCAAAATAGGTTCCCGTGTATCGGGTTTCCTAGACCTCTCGTTGGTGTGAAGTCCCTGCAGCAGTACAAACATTTAAGAGAATGCAAATATTTAATAATAATAAGAATGGTAACTCACGGTTTGGCAATTAAATAAAACATTAACAATTATAATTTCTTCATGTATTTGCTACAACAACTAGTAGTACATATAGATACACAAGTTTTCGGATGCCATTCACCAAAACTAGTCATTCATTTGTGTCGGCCATCCATGGCGAAAGCTGCGTCGCTGCCGATCCAAAATCGGCAGCAGAAACTGCATTGCTGCCGATCCAGAATCGGCAGCGGAATCTGCGTCGCTGCCGATTTCTGTATCGGCAGCAGGATCTGCGTCGCTGCCGATTTCTGTATCGGCAGCGGAATCTGGGTCGCTGCCGATCCAGAATCGGCAGCGGAAGTCTGCGTCGCTGCCGATCCAGAATCGGCAGCGGAAGTCTGCGTCGCTGCCGATTTCTGCATCGGCAGCGAAGTCACTCTTTTATCCCGGCCATCCATCCGTTTGGATGCCATTAGCCGAAGCTAATCAGTCCTTCATCCCGGCCATCCATTCGGACGCCATTAGCCAAAGCTAATCATTCTTTGTCCCGGCCATCCGTTTGGATGCCATTAGCCGAAGCTAATCACTCCTTTGTCCCGGCCATCCTTTCGGATGCCATTAGCCGAAGCTAATCATTCTTTGTCCCGGCCATCCCTTCGGACGCCATTAGCCGAAGCTAATCATTCTTTGTCCCGGCCATCCTTTCGGATGCCATTAGCCGAAGCTAATCATTCTTTGTCCCAGCCATCCCTTCGGACGCCATTAGCCGAAGCTAATCATTCTTTAATCATCATTTAAGCGTTCAACAATCTATTATCGGTTCTAACAATATGATAGTACTCAAGTTAAAATATTTCAAGATTCAACATAAGAAAAAGGAAGGTGCAAGTCACCTACCTGCTCCACCTGTGGGTCGATCCTGTCTTGATGATGGTCCAATCCCGACCGCACCACCTAAGACATCAATGGTCACAAATCAGCACAGTTGTATTTATTTTATTTTTGAATCATACTCATCATCACACTTATTTCAAGAGTTCATATGTTCACATTCAAGTGTTCCAAATTTTACACCATCATAACATGAGATTGTTACTAGCATTTAAGTCATTCCTGCCTAGGAGGCTTATTGTAGGAATTCGGCAGCGAGAACTGGTTCGTTGCGGGCTGCCAGTTCGGTAGCGACAACTGTTTCGCTGTTGGTGCCACAGTTTCGCTGCACAACGCACAACTCGGCAGCGAATATCAATTCGCTGCAGTAGGTTCAGTTGCGGCAGCGAAACAGAATTTCGCTGCGCAACACACAAATCGGCAGCGAATATCAATTCGCTGCAGGAGGTTCAGTTGCGGCAGCGAAACAGAATTTCGCTGCGCAACACACAAATCGGCAGCGAATATCAATTCGCTGCAGTAGGTTCAGTTGCGGCAGCGAAACAGAATTTCGCTGCGCAACACACAAATCGGCAGCGAATATCAATTCGCTGCAGTAGGTTCAGTTGCGGCAGCGAAACAGAATTTCGCTGCGCAACACACAAATCGGCAGCGAATATCAATTCGCTGCAGTAGGTTCAGTTGCGGCAGCGAAACAGAATTTCGCTGCGCAACACACAAATCGGCAGCGAATATCAATTCGCTGCAGGAGATTCAGTTGCGGCAGCGAAACAGAATTTCGCTGCGCAACACACAAATCGGCAGCGAATATCAATTCGCTGCAGTAGGTTCCGTTGCGGCAGCGAAACAGAATTTCGCTGCGCAACACACAAATCGGCAGCGAATATCAATTCGCTGCAGGAGATTCAGTTGCGGCAGTGAAACAGAATTTCGCTGCGCAACACATAAATCGGCAGCGAATATCAATTCGCTGCAGGAGGTTCCGTTGCGGCAGCGAAACAGAATTTCGCTGCGCAACACACAAATCGGAACCATCAATTTAAGCACATAGTTCTTCAACAAAATTCCAGCAATAACATCACAGCAGAACACATTAAATTCCAGCACTAACATCTCAGCAGAACACATTAAATTCCAGCAAGAACATCACAGCAGAACACATTAAATTACAGCACTAACATCACAGCAGAACACATTAAATTCCAGCAAGAACATCACAGCAGAACACATTAATTTACAGCACTAACATCACAGCAGAACACATTAAATTCCAGCAAGAACATCACAGCAGAACACATTAATTGCAGCAACGATCATCACAACAGAATACATTTAATTTCAGCACCAACATCCCAGTAGAACACATTCATTCCAGCAGAACACACACACACACATGCATGCTGGCCTACCCCATAGTTAAAGCCAGCTTCTACCATAATTGTTAGATGTTCTGAAATTGACTTTATTTCACTTTTGTTTGCTAGTTCTCCTAGTTAATTTCAGTTTCCCCCATAGTTGGCTTAGGTCTTAGATCAATTTTTCTTAGGGTTTTTCTTCTTCATTTTCGTTTTTGATTTTAAGGGGGAGAGGAAAGGGAGTTCCATGACTCATACCTTCTGAATTTAACTAAGTTTGAGGAAGGTTTGACACTATTCTTTTCTCTTCAGCTGCTGGTTCTCTTCCTTCTTCTTCTTCTCACGTTTTCCAGCTCTCTTTTTCCTCTCCTCTATGCAGCTGCCCACTCCTCTCTCAAGGTCTCATCTCTCCCTCACAAGCTCACAAGACACTCTACTAGTTTGATTCACGTTTTTGATGTGAAAGGGGAAGGGAAGAATGACATGCAGCTGCTGGTTTGGGAAGAAGATGAGTTATTCTCTCTCTCCCTCTTTGTATTTATACTACCCATCAAATGAATTGGGTTGTTTGGGGGTTGGTTTAGGTGTGTCCTTATCCTTGTTTGGTTTATCTAAAACCAGTTTTACCCCTCCCTCCCAGCTGTGCGTCACTGTTGATTGAGAAATCGGCAGCCGAAAACTGCGTCGCTGCCGATTTCTGCATCGGCAGCGAAAACTGCGTCGCTGCCGATTTCTGCATCGGCAGCGAAAACTGCGTCGCTGCCCAATCCAGAATCGGCAGCGAAAACTGCGTCGCTGCCGATTTCTGCATCGGCAGCGAAAACTGCATTTATCACCATCTTTCTCTCTCTCTTTCTCTTTAAATATATATATATATATATATATATATATATATATATATATATTTATGTAGACATATATATATTTTCGTTTGGGTGTTTACATTCTCCCCTCCTAAATATGAATTTCGTCCTCGAAATTTAAAGAAGTTTTACACTCCATACCTGGTAGTTCAAATAAAT